CCCTAAACCCCTAAACCCTAAAACCCTAAAGCCCTAAACCCTAAACCCTAAAATCCTACAGCCCTAAACCTTAAAACCCTGAAACCCTAAAGCCCTAAAGCCCTAAAGCCCTAAACCCTAAAGCCCCTGAACCCTAAAGCCCCTAAAGCCCCTGAACCCTAAACCCCGTTAAACCCTAAAGCCCCTAAACCCTAAACGACGAGCCCCTCGATCCTCAGTCAAAACACCAACCGCCCCCAACCCCAAGCCCCAATCGCTTAAAGCCCTGAACCCTAAGATTAGGGGTTTAGGGGTTTACAGTAGCGGTTTAGCCAAGCCCCCAGCAGACCTCTTGAATCCATGTTGGCGATGGCCTCTCTTCCTGGGTTGTAGTTTTTGGGGCCCTGACAAGTATTCATGAATAGGTACCTCTTTAGAAACCCCCTAAACCCTAAACCCTAAACAATATAAGCCCTGAAACCATAAGGGAAAAAACAAAGTTTCCCAAAATAGTCACCTAGTGTCGCGTTTGGTTCAGAGTCCCACTCGTGGATGCATTCACCCACATCGGAGGATCCTGCCGGTTTTGTTAACAAAAATCGTTAAGGGCTCTGTAGAGGTCTTATAAATTATAACCCTAAACCCTATAAACTCCCTAAACCCAAGTTATAAGGGCTCTTTAGAGGTATTATAAAATATAACCCTAAACCCTATAAACTCCCGAAAACCCGAGTTATTAAGGGGGAATGTGAAGCTTCAATAAGTTTTGAGGCTGTCGGATTTTTCGTTCCAGGGATGGCAAGGCTGAAGGTTTAGGGTTTAGGGGTTTAGGGTTTAGGGGTTTAGGGTTTAGGGGTTTAGGGGTTTGAGGTTTAGGGTGTTTTTCTAGATGGGAATTAGGTGTAAGGGGGACCAGGGATGCTTGAAACAAATCCGTCGCAGTCTTGAGGGTTTCTCCCTTGCTCTAAGTTTAAACCGTACACCCTAACTTCTTGGCCCAAGGGCGCCTGTCGAGTGTCAAGATAGAACACGTCCTCGTTGTCTAGCTTTATCCCTCCTCGGCGTTTAGGGGTTTTTGGGGGTTAGGGACCCTAAAGCCTAAACCCTAAACCCTAAGGGTATTGGGGGTAGAGAGGGTTTAGGGTGGCCCGGGGCGTAGGGCTTGCTGACAGCACTTGGCAAAAGAGCAAGGTCACATCCTAAATAGCCGCTTACTTCTAGACTCCCCCTAAACCCTAACCCCAAAACCCTCATTCTTCAGCAGATTCTTCTAGGCTCAAGTGCGGGGTTTATCCATGGAGCCCAACCTGAGCAGGACCTTCGAAACGATAAAACGAAGAGCCCTAAACGAAGGGTTCTCTAAGTGATCTATGGGTAAAAGAAGGGTTCTCTAAGCAATCTATGGGGCTATATTGGGGCCATTAGGGTTGTGTCATGGTTCTTTAAGGGATGTAGGGTTTTAGGAATCAGGCCGCGGATTCCCTTACAAGTAAAGGGTTTGTTTACAGGTTCGCTTCAGGGATCTATCTGGGCTCCATAAAAGGGTTTTAGGGTTTGGGGTTTGGTGAAAGCTTAAGAAAGTCTCCGCTACATCTGGGGTTTGGGCTCTAGGGTTTCGGGCCGTTTAAGGCTCATAGCGCCTCTTACCCAAGGGCGTTGAACAAACTGTGCTACGAGGTCCAAGATCTGCTGAGATCAGGGTGTAGGTCTTTAGCATTGAGTGCGCAGAACGCCTTGCGAAATGAACAACAAAGAGGCAAAAAGAACAGACACAGCCAAGACCACCACTGAGCCCTAAACCCTAAATCCTAAACCCTCAACCCGAAAATCGCCAACGGCAAAGGCCTGAGGTTCAGGCGTGGACCGTCCGGCTGGGCAGTGCCACCAACGACCCAAAGACGATCACGGGAGTCCATGGCATAGGCAGCGCGCGCTATCGCTGGAATGTAGCCGCTGGCATTTACCTGGGAGGAGTTTACGCTAAGTTTCAGATCAAACTCAGGATACGGTATACATGTAGCTTACCGGTAGAACGTTTACACTGATTAAACCCTAAACCCCAAATCCTAAACCCTAAAGCCCCTAAACCCTAAAACCCTAACCGCTAAAACCCTAAACCCCAAAACCCTAAACCCCTAACCCATTAACCCAAAGCCCTAAACCCTAAACCCCTAACCCCTAAACCCTAAGCCCTAAACCCTAAACCCCTAAACGCCAAAACCCTAAACCTCTAACCCCTAAACCCTAAAACCCTAAAACCCTAAACCCTAAACCCTAAACCCCTAAAACCCCTAACCCTAAACTCTAAAACCCTCAAACCGTAAACCCTGATGCCTCAGACCGGCCCAGGTACCTGGACCCATTCTGGAGGAACCTGGCGCTCACAGTGGGCTCGCGACAGTTGGGAACTTACCGTAGGGTTTTAGGGTTTTAGGGTTTAGGGTTTACGGTTTAGGGTTTAGGGCTTAGGGTTTAGGGTTTAGGGCTTAGGGCCTGGGGTTTAGGGTTTAGGGCTGAAAAAATTCGTAAGTAGGGTCCTCTTAAGCTCAATAAGAGAAAGTGTAAAAGATCCCAAAGGCCAACCTAGTTGGGACTTACTGTAGGGTTTACGGTTTAGGGTTTAGGGTATAGAACCGATATCTCACACCACTTGAGGCTTCTGCAGGCCTTGTTGGTGTCGAGATAGAACACCTCATCCGAGAACTCCGATCCCAACCTACCTGGACTTGACATGGGTAGTTCTCAAGGGTGCCGTACTATTTCTTACTTCCCCAATAAGCCAGGGAAATAAAAAGTTAAACTTTCAGATTACTACTAAATTATAAGAACCCAAAAAGTTTAAAGGTTGGGTATTGGAGAACTAAGATTTTGGGGACCGAAGAAGGGACCCCCCCGGCTGAGGTCGCTACTCCGCGCGCCTCCGACAATCCACATCCTTGGCTCTTGCTAAGGAGTGTAATTTAGGGTTTAGGGTCCAGGGTTTAGGGTCTGGGGTTTAGGGTTTTAGGTTACCAGAATACGGAAACCAAGCAACGCACCATAGATCCCCGGTATGGCAGCTCAAAAAGTTGAGTTCCTCAACAAGAGCCCAGGATCTTGTTTTTGGAGTCCATCCCTGCCATATGATCCTGCCGGGCGGTCGGAATGGTACCACTGGCAAGTACCTGGACCCATGCCAGTGGATCCTGCAAGGACACAAAGCTCTGGGAGCTTCAGAGAGGAAGAACGGGTTCCTAGCAATACCCCATCATAATAATGTTGTTATCATGAATAATCAATATTGATGATATTTGTTCTGCTAATAACGACTCCACTACCCATAATCTTATTGGTATTATGAATGATCCTGACAATCATAGTTCTGCTCATAATGACTCCATACTCCATACGACGGAGTAGGAGCATTCTACCCACCCATACATGAGGATTTGGAGTATGGGAGTTGCCCTCATGAGGTCTTCTATGTGTGCTTTCACTGCTTGGAGTTTGCGCACTAAATCAGACTCCTGTTCTACTTGGCATCTTCCTTAGGCTTCCGTGATTGTCTGTCAATCCCATGCTCATATACTGGATTGAAACACTGATAAAGTTTCTAAGCATCTACGATCCACCACAAAGTATGGTCTTCGTCGTAGTTCCTCTTCTGGCTATCCATATCTGTGAACAGGACCCTATGTTCAGAAGCTGATAAGCTATCCAGCCTATAAGAAACTGGTTTCGGCGACCCTAAACCCTAAACCCCTAAACCCTAAACCCTAAGGCTGGTTACAGAATGCACCGCAGCTCTGTCAAGCCTGCAGGCTAAACATGATATTTGGGGGTTTGCGGAAATTAAGGGTACCCTATTTTGGGGTCCTCTATAATACGGATCCTAGTATTTAGGGTACTACATTAGGGTCCCCTATGTTCGGAAACCCCCATATTACTCCATGTACTACGATTGTGGAATTAGGGCCCCGCAAACCGAAACTAGAATCTTGTGGAGCTGGTGCTTTTTAGTGCTAGTATCTTTGGGTTTAGGGTTTAGGGTTTTGGGCCCTCTGGGTTTCTCCGAATATCTTCGTAGCGACAACCTGAGGCTGAGCGGTGCAGTGCAAAGCAACAGCTGTCAATGTTTGTGCTGAGTCATACTTGTTCTAGGTTCCCCAAATGCCCACTATTCGGCGTCACGAAGGTACCCCGCCCAAAACAAAGCAGGGCAAAAGGGCTACCACCGAGAGACCTAGACTTAGGGGTTTAGGGGTTTAGGGGCTATGCCAGGTGCCAGCTGTATTTCTGACCGCCAATACTTGTTCTGTTTAGCACAGTGCAATTACACAGACCCGACCGATAATCCTAAACCAAGAGCTAATCATAGACATTGAGACAACCAGTCGCAGCATACCCCTACCAACAACCACGGTCAAACCTGGACATATCCATACTCTTCAACCATAACGAAACTATCCGGACCATCAGTACTTCAAAAACGGTAGCTGGCTGTTGAATGTGGGCCGCTGAGGACGTGACGTTCGAAGCCGAAAAAGCAACACATGGTAGCAAGTCATAATGGTTAGCTTCCTTCTGCAGGTTCGTAGTTGGTGGCACAAAGAGCGATGGATCTGTCGATGAACCCTTCAGCTAGAGATGAACAAGATGCATTAAATTTAGTTGCTGAGTTCATAAGCCAAAAGTGTACACTGTCAGTTCCACAAGGGATAACATTATCCCCAAAAGCTGTAAAGTGCTCTCATTTAGCTGCTAAGTAAAGCTGCATTAGGCTGAAGCTGAGTCTTGATCAGCTAAAGGCTGTTGAACCTCGAGGCTGAGAATCAAGACGAATCAAGGCTGCTGAAACATCTGCAAAATATGCTCTCATCATGTCACAGAACTTTGCGGAGATGACAAACTTGGTGGCAGGCTGAACGGAAGCTCACCAATTAGATGTTGTTTCGCCAGCATTGATGCTGCGACTGCCAACACGAATGTAGATTTGATGAGAAATGACTGGGCGACTAGCTGCTTTCAAGCACCTTACATAATAGGTGGAGCCTATCAGTTGGGATCTTTCCGCCTCATTAGACACCAACCGCTGGTGCTAAAACTTGCTTGCAGTTGCTACTGAGTCTCGCACCGCCAAGTTCAAATTCGCAGATTTTTTCGCCGAGGCTCTATGTCATCTACGATGATGTATCAATTCAGGCCGCGTTCCCACAACAGCAGCCTTCAACAATGAAAGAATAAATTCAGGAACCCGAACTGTTAAGCCCAAACCCCGGAACCTTGCCTGGGTCAAGTCGATGTAGAACACGTCGTTCATTACTGCGGCAGGGTTTAGGGAGTTTAATTAAGGTTTAGGACTTGGAAGACCGGTGTGTCGTGGGTTTCGTGGAAGGTTCGCCCTAAATCCTATCCTATGAAGCCCAAAAAAACATGAAACCCCAAAATCCTAAACCTTAAGCCCACAACATGCTAGATCGCTGCGCACCGTAATATGAACCCCACCCGCACTGTATGTAGAAATGGAACGAGAACTAGAGATCAGGAGTCTGCACTGCTCACTGAGACTGAACATCAAGTCGCGCACTCAAAAAAAAACGAAACGAACCAAATTCCAACCGTGCATTTTAGCCTGTCCAACTGCTGAGGAGTGCACGAACTGTGTCGTTCGCTCCGCCGAAAATCCACATCCTCAGCTATGCGGGGTTTACCTGTAGTCTCCATTGCAACTTCTTTTTGGGGTTACCTTGTGGAGCACTAATTGGTTAAACCAAGCAAGGGAACTACAATGGAGAGGAAAAGTAGGGCTCCAAGTCTTCAGTGTAGCGAGGTGCTTCAGTTCGGGGCTAATGTAGGGGCCTCAATAGAACAGAGTTTTGGGCTGTTTGATGGTATAGTTACAATCAGGGCCCTAAACCCTAAACCCTTAAACCTTAAAGCCTAAACGAATAAATTTGATTGCCCTTGAGGCTTCTATATGGGTTGTTCTATAAATTAGGATGCTTTTTAGGGTCCTTTTTTATAAGGGTGCCGCACTTTATTGGGGACCTAAGAGGGGCCCTAGTTTAGAGAACTACCCATATTGCACCTGATTTGGGATTTAGAGTGCTTTCCAGCTGCCTATCCTCGCTTCCGGCCAACAACGTGCTAACACTATCGGGTTTCTTTAGAGGTACCCAGGGAACCCAATACCCCTCAATTAAGGAATATGCCTTAAATTATAGGGGCCTTAATAATATGATTTAAAGGTATATTCCTCATTTAAGAGGTATCGGGTTCTTTCGGGGTAAGCGGAAATGGCTGTCGCGCTGTCAAAGCTCTGGCCGAGTCCACCTGGCCAACTGCTTACTTCCCCAATAAGCCAGGGAAATAAAAAGTTAAACTTTCAGATTACTACTAAATTATAAGAACCCAAAAAGTTTAAAGGTTGGGTATTGGGGAACTAAGACTGTCTTAGGAGGCGCTGGTGAATTGATGAATCTGGCTCTCGCCACAGTGCAGGTGCAGAGCTTGTACTGTTTTGCGGTGGAAGCCGTCCTCCCACCACAGTGCCTTGATGAAACTTGAAAGCGCTCCAAGTCGCTCTAACCATGGCCGAACTATTCGACTCCTCGCATCTCTGTTGGTGTGAGTATGAACAAGGATTTTGGTGCTCCCATCCCACTACCGGCACATAGTTTGGGAGCGCATGTCTTCCAGCCACTGTCCGATTTGTGGGGAGCTGCCGAAATCGGCTGGTGCAGATTTCGCTACGACCCGTGTTCTCGCCGCCACAAACACCGCCGGAACGGTCCCGTGTGCCTCTGCCTCCGGAAAGTCGTGCTTCGGCCCCAGTGACGTGGGTACCAAGCAAAAATAGGAAAACCAAATGAGGTGTTCTCCCGCTAGTTACAGCATGTGGCCCACCTTTCGCACTCATGGGATGATCTTGAAGGCTTCAGGGGCACTGCTGCATGATTGTTGGGTGTGTGTTGTTGCTGTTTGGGATTACGCTGGCATGGTTTCGATGGTACTGGCAGATACGAAGATCGCTCCTTCAGTTGTTGTGTTTCATTTTCGAACAAATCCGATCGCGAACCGACATCATGACTATGACTAAGTTGTAAGTCAAAACTGATATAAGTTGCGGCTGAAACCTTGCACAGCTTCTACAGCCCGAAGGCCAGAACCCTCTAAGCAACGCCGAGAGTCTTCTTCTTCTCTCTGTCCGTGACAGCGGTGAAACGAGCACGCGGTTCGGGCAGTATGCCGTTGGGAACGGTCTGGACCCATTGTAGCGGATCCTGGAGTCAGGCTGTCGGTTTGGTGGGTGGGTGCGTGGGTGATTTGAACGTTTTGAGTCCATGGGACTAAAGGTTTAAATGTCACTACAACCCGTCTTTAACTTTGTCTATCTGTACATCTAACTATGCATCTACCTATGTGTGCAATTCTCTTGTCTGCCTTTCTGTTTGGCTACCTGCTGTCTTTCTATCTACGTGTCTGTCTCGCTGTCCATCGATATACCTGTCAGTCTGTCTGTCTATCTACCTGTCTATCTGCCTATCTAGCCACAGGATATGTATATATATATATGTATACACACACACCTACACGCATGTATATAGATCGGTAGATAGATAGATAGATGGAGAGATAGATAGGTAGATAAATAGATAGATAGATAGATAGATAGATAGATAGATGGACAGATGGATAGATGGATAGATGGATAGGTAGATAAGTCGATCGATAGATAGATAGATAGTTGGTTAGACAGATAGATAAAAAGGTAGATAGATAGGTGGACAAATAGATAGATAGATAGATACAGAGATTGAGGGATAGATGGATGGTTACATAGACAATTCTAGCTAGGTAGGTAGGAAGGTAGGCAGGCAGGCAGGTAGGTAGGGGTAGGGATAGGTAGGCAGGTAGGGTGGGTGGGTGGGTGGGTGGGTAGGTGGGTAGGTGGGTAGGTGGGTAGGTGGGTAGGTGGGTAGGTGGGTAGGTGGGTAGGTGGGTAGGTGGGTAGGTGGGTCGGTGGGTCGGTGGGTAGGT